TGTCCTGCTGCCACCACTGATGCTCTCAACGCAAGCGCTGCCCTTTGTCTACGTATTTGCAAATTTGCACACATTATACCCATGGACGTAAGCAACCAAGCAAGATATGAGCCTTTGTTGCTGTCGTGCTTCATATCACTTTGCGCTTGCATTGTTTTTGCTTAGACAGATTTCCCATTATAGCACATAGACGCATATGTATGGAACGTTTCTTTCACGAATCCTCGCAATACACCAATTACACTCACCGCTCTAAAGCATTCAGTTTTCGCATTTGATTGACACAAATTGGCTCAGTGTAGAGACGCTGCTACTTTCATTCGCATTAAATACTTCCGGCTGCACTCATTCATAACTTCGAGATCGATGTGTCGGCTTCTATGTAGCACATATGTATACATTTTGGTCACAATTGGAGATGGTTAAGGCGCGTCGCACAGGTGCAAAGTTCAGATTCCTCTACATAAACTTTTTGTCATCTAATGCTCAAAATCGACACTACCATAGTCGAATATATTACATATAAATTCTGGTCCCGATTGGAGTCGGTTAAGGCGTATCGCACAGAGGTAAAAGGTCAGAGGTCTCTATGTAGACTCAAATAATTATTTTTTTTTTTTCCTTTAATACTGCAATACTACTATAGTCGAAGCTATCACATAAAAATTTTGGTCCCGATAGGAGTCGGTTAAAACATCTTCATGGGGTAATCTGAACTTTGACCCCTGTGCGATACGCCTTAACCGACCCCAATCGGGACCAAAATTTATATGTGCTATCTTCGACCATAGTAGCATCAAGAAGGAGTTGAGGGCTTAGGAAATCTGATGAAAAAATATGCTTGCTACATTTTAGAACCAACCTAATGTACATACATATGCCATGTGGCATTTGAGTGCTTGAACTCATCTTAGAGGCTGCCATGTTGATCACTTTGAAAGCTTGCCATCATCATTCACTCTCATGGCAACGTGCCAGAAAAAAATCTAATTCAAAGAAAAGCTTTCCTTACTGCACTCCAATTGCTTCAATTTTCCGTTCATCCTTTTAAATATTCCTTTTATTACTCATCAATTATTGCAGTTTGAATGATTTTATGAAAATCATTGAGTTGTAGCGATATGTGTGCAGCTATTTAACAAATATGTGCGTTGCCACTTCGCACAATGGGGCAACCCGAACCAACTGTAATTATCATTCTTGCAAAAAACAAAGCAGTCTGATGAGTACAAGTGGTACTCGTATTCATGTAAATATATATTTTAGTGAAAATTACCTTATTCCCCGCCAGTGTTGTCGCGAATCATTTTTAGTGGCAGCGAAATTCCTTTTAAAAAAGGGCTAAAAAGGGCTTAAAGAAAATTGTAGCTAAAATTTTTTACTTACATATACTGCCGTGCCCACATTTAGTTCATACACTTTGAAATATTTCCAGGGTCAGTGGCAATTTTAAATTTAAATAAGTGGCCAAAAAAAGTATATGGTAGCTAAATCTAGTCTGCAAAGGGCTAAAACGGCAACATTGTTCTCCACACTTTGTCTACTCTTGTTATGACAGCTGACCATTATGGTTAAGCTTTCTCACTCCCACCTGCTATCTCTCAAGTAGTTTTCATAGTTAGCCTTTAGCCATGTACAGTAATTGTTGCCCAGCGAGTGTTTTAGCTGATGTTGCCGCTGTTGTTTACCCACAGGGGTATTCCATATGTACGTGAACCTCAGCGTTCAATTATAACTTGTAACTTATTAAACAAGTACGACTTGATAAATGATTTTTGCTATCACGCCAAAATAAAATTTAACATAAAATGTATACATATGTCTCTTCCCCCGTATTAAGGAAACGAACAACATATCAAAAGTGGGTTAATAAATTTGGTCAATAAACAAGGCTCTTCAAAATCAAGGGTTTATAAAATAAAATTTGTTTAAAGTGGTAAATAAATTCTTCTATGTTCTTTCGTCCCAAGGCAACAATATTCCATTAAAACAAATTTAACTTCTATATTATGAAGGTGTCAAAATAAAGGGCTTGACCTATAGATGTCCAATAAGGCTCTATTTATTCGAAAAGAGTTGCCACCTATTAAAACATTAAATTCAAATTATTTATTAAGTTAAATGAATTAATGCAATATAAATTGAAATGTTTTTAAAAATGTTATTTTTTTCAGACTACTTGATAAAATACGTATCACAAAGGGTTAATTCCCGTACAATCCGCTAATTGGACAGAGAGAGCGAAAAATTTGCTCTCAAATGTAATAAAATGTCCACAAGTACGGGCACGCAAAAAACCATATTTCGTGCAAATAATTTGAGGAACAGCTGTTTCATGTGGTTTTTGTTGTTGCCCCTTAAAAGCAAACACTTGGAAATTGAATTTGGGTTTCGCAAATTTGGTTGTAAGAATAAAAAGTCAAAATTAAAAAAATGCACTTGACACCTTTTCACCCTTAGGTGACGATATGAGTGAATGTGACTGGTGGGATATTGAAAACTCCGCTATTTTACCTTTGTGCACTCAAATGCAAATTTTAGCCAAAAAACTTATTTTAAAACCAGATTTTTTTGTGTTATAAAAAAATAGTGACTCAAGCCAGTGACCACGTTTTAATTTTTTTCTATGAAATATTCGTTGTTTTTTTGATAACAAAAATCCATATAAATCACAGTTTCAAACTTTATACAAAATTTAAGAAAATTCAACAAATTTTCATCAAAATTTCAACTTTTTTACTGAAAAAATAAACATAAACATTTTTTCTGTTCAAATATTCCAACCGTGACGATGAAATAGCCCCCACACATCAAAGGCCAGCAGCAGTTCGAGTGTGGTAGCTGAAAGCGAAAATCTTGTAATTTTCATCAGACATTTTCATGCAAATGGGACTCAATGTGTGGCATTGTCAAAGCAACCAAATGCAAATGTTGGTGAGAATAGTGAAAAGCTGGACATATCAGACTACATATTAGGAATATATGGCTTTTTGTTTAAGCCGAAGTGTAATTTTCCGAGAAAACTTTTGTGCTTACTTAAAGTGTAATATAATTTTTCATTTATTTTAGAGCACGACAAAGACTCACTTACATATATTTGGCCGAAAGCAAATTTAAAATATTGAAAACACTTAGAGAGAGTAAGAGAAGGCAATTGCAATTTAAAATTAAACTTTCATTTTATAACTCAAACAAATAGTTACCTGTTTACTTTTTTATTATTTTAAGCAACAAATGCAGATTATTTTTTCCTTTTTGATAAACAGACTCTCAAAGAGTACCCCAAAACTCTCGGAGAACAATCCTGGCTAGTCATAAAAAATACCGAACAAATCCAAAAAACATAAAGCACGATGTACATTAGGGTGGTCCAAAAAACTAAAGTCGGAATTTGAATGCTCTCATCCCCTGGGATTGTTCTATGTCGAAAAAAATGTACCCTTATTTTTTTATTTTGAAATCAAAAAATGTGTAGTGGTCGCTCAAAGCGCTCAAAATTTTCCATGTATGTATTTTATATGGAAAAAAACTACTTTTCGTAGAAATGGTATGGAATTCTTGCAAATCAATAATTTTCGATGGGAAAGGTCCGGTTCTATTCGGGAGACCTCCAATAATAATATCCGATCATATATATATCGTTCACGGTTCGTTTCTGAATACAGTTATTCAAGCTGCAAGATTAGCTTGAGACGCATTTGATGTTAAATAGCTCTCTCAAACCTCCAACGTTAGTTTTTAACAGCATCTCAACAAGCGGGTTATAGTTTTCTCAATATAAAAATAAGTAAAGAAAAAAATAAGTTTTCTTAGAAAAATTACGTAATGGGCTTTTTTCATAGCTTAGTACCTAATACCTACCCAAATTGCTAATTCGTTTTTTTAAGGGAGAGACCATTGCAGGCCTGTGCAATTAATTGTTGCCAAAAAGTTGGTCATACTTCCGTTAATTTACTAAATATTATAACTGAAGAGTGTCAATTTCCTCTACATATTTACCAACAACTGAAAGTTCCGCCGATTTAAAGTGAAATCGAAAGGCAGTCTTATTTACATTGACAT